TTATGATACACCAATTTATTTATAAGATACAAATTATCGATCGTATATAGTTATCGAATATTTTTTTTAAGAATGGAAAACAAAAAAATAATAAGAAAAAATACTATAGAAGTATTATTATTGTAATAAACATTTTTTTTTCTTTTTTTAAGTCACTGACCGATGCATGGAAATATTTTAAATGAAGAAAAAAGAATGAAAGAAAGAACAAGAAAAAGAAAAAGAAAAAACCACGAGTGTGTTGCTTGCATAAGAGTCCTCGACGATCTTGTCTGCTTTCAAAGCATGCGAAAGGCCTCTTTTAACGAGTACGTCAGTACTTTAACCTCGATTTCTTCTTTAAGTCGCTAAAACGATTCCTATCTTGATAATGAGGAATAACCTTCGAAATTTTTATTCTAATTGTTTTTCCATTTTTATTTTTTCGTTTTTCCCTTAACCCCTGTCCCGCCCCGCCCCGCCCCGTCCCCTTCCAAATTAATAGAATAATATATATAATACATCGTGATTCGTATGAATGTGTAATACGCATTGACAAAATACAAATTGTACGTTTTGATAAAAAATTAATATGATTTGATTGAGAATAGTATAATTTAAATTGGATGATAAAAAAAAAATTAAAGAAATTTCTCTCTCTCTCTCTAACTGTTCACTGAAATCGAAAATTTTGTATTTGTAACAAAAAAAAAGAAGGAAAAATCTTGAACAAACACTTACGGTTAGAACATTTTTGAGGATTCGGAAGTGATAAGAATCTTCCTGGCCTGTTACTGTGTGGTCTAGCTTCATTAATCGCTGGGTCTGCTATGCAGATAGTTGCGAGGACCAATACCAAGGTCAGTGGGAGCAGGATCATCTGAAAAATAAAAAATAACACGAGTTAGAAGATGGATATATTAAAAGAGAAAGTGTGAGAGAAAGAGAGAGAGAGAGAGAAAAAAAAGATAAAGATATATGCGTGTGTGACATGGAAAGAATAATTCTTTTAATTAATATACGAACCATTCGCGGAATAATAATAAATATTTCCAGGATATAGAGAGAGAGTACGTTTCGTTCGAATTTATCTTCTCTATCTTTACAAAATTTTTATTATATTATATTATATTTTATTTTATTTTCTACTCTCGTCGACAATAAATTTTTGCAACAGTCTATTCGCTTATTACGAATCTACAGTCATTAAAATTATACACATATCTCGTAAAATATCATGACAAATATTTTATTGATTTTTAATTGTGTAATTACAGCACAGTTCGAAAGAAAAGAAAAGAAACATTTCTACAGAATTCTAAAATAACTTTTCTTTTTTTTTTTCTTTTTTTCTTATTTTATTTTATAACACCTTAACGATCGAACGTAGTGAAATAAAAAAAGAAAAATAAATATATATATATAAAAACTATATAGATATATATTATAATAAATTATCAAAATAAAAAAAAAAATAAAAAAGGAATGCAAAAAAATAATCAAATGCAAATGAATTATCCTAACACGTTGGCATGGCACCACTAATGTAAGCCAAAAAAGAAAAAAAAAATAGTAACGGATGTTCGTTTTGAACGCTCACCTTGTTTATCTCGTTGTTTATTTTTTTGTAAGATCCTTCTTCTTTTAATTTTATTTTTTTTATTTCTTTCTCCTACTCTCTCTCTCTCTCTCTCTCTCTCTTTTAAAAGGTAAGCCAAGAGGTTGACGGTTAAAGAAACGTAACTGATAGGATGTGGAGAGACGGGCCCCATCGTCGAGGATTATATAGAAACGGTCCCCACCAAGTCCCATAGCTCATCCCACCCTAAGATATTGCAAGGACCCAACAGAACACGACGACGTTTGCCTGAATCGATCTTACTCGTCATTAGAGACCTATTATTAGGGGTTAACCACTCGTACACTCGATTTTGTTCATTTTCAAAGGTCAACCATTTCGTTTCACCCTTTGTCTATCTTTCTTTCTCACTCTTTCTCTCTTTCTATTTTTTTATCTTTATCTCAAACCTTGTTTTTATTTTTAACATTCTATCTTATCGATAAATGATTTCTTTGTACACGCAACTTGACTCGCGTGTGCGCGAGTACATCCTCTTTGTGTAATTTTTTTTTCCTCCCCTCCATCCCCCCGCCCCACCCCACGATTTTCTATACGATAGTATTTAAAATAAACGCCTAGAGTTTCTTTTATTCTCATTGAAAGTTAATAATAATAATAATAATAATAATAATAATAATAATAATATATATTAGAGTGTGATATTAATAAA